GTTAGCCTTTCCTGCCCTACCCTATAGTGCAGATGGCTGAGGATGCGGGACTCCCAGGTGTGTGTTTGGTTGGCACTGTAGGATGACCTGGGCAGTCCTGTCCCTCCCTTGCTCTGGAATTCTCCCTGCTTCCAACCAGCCAGGATGAATCACCTTGCCCCTGGCCTCTCCACTCTGCCTCTCAGCTGGGAAGGCTGTCTGCCCCTCCCCCACCCTCCTGCAGATAAGTTGTGCTGGTGGGGGGGGGTGAGAAGCGAGGGAGAGGGGCAGGTGGCGGTTGAGCTGCCCATTTTGGGAACACCCAGAAAGGTGACAGGATTCTAATGGAGGCTCTGAGGCTGTCCCGCAAGGACTTTGAATAAGGACTCATGACTTGGACTGGAATTTAAAGTAACAGAATGACAGACACAATGAGAGCTTAGGGTCAGGCCTGCCCAGCTCCAAGCTGCGTCCACCCAGCTGATCTGATGAGCAGCTTCCCCTCTCAGCTGGAACCGCGGGCCTCAAAGGGAGGGGTGTAATCTAAAATACTGCTGTCAAAGTTTGCGGTGAGCGGTTTCCTGGGGGCCCTGCGCTAGCTCCGGAAGTGAGGGATGGGCGGTGGTGGAGGGTGAGGCCCAGGGAAGTGGTCATCAGCCAGAACACCCCCCCCTTCTGCTGTACTCGCTGGGCAGCCAGTGATGAAGGAACTTTCTGGGCCTGCCAGTTGGTGCTTGGAGACGGGGTAAAGCTAGATACAGTCTGGCCTGGGAGGAAGTTGCGAAGAGGACCCTGAACAGCCAGCCCCAGGCATGTTTTTGATGTTGGGTGACGTCAGGAGAAAGAACACAGACTGGGTCGACTAATCTGTGGATCTGCCGGAGGCCCACCTGGAGACGCTGGTAGCCCCTCTGGATGTCCGCTGTGGGGAATAATGACTGGGTCCCTTCCCTTTTATTTTGGGTGGAAGCTCCCTCGATGGGGGCAGGAACTGGGTGTGACTCATCTTTGTTCCCACATAGCCTCCAGGACTGTCAAAGTGTGATCCACAGGGCGTGACTGGCTTGTGCTGGGTCCCACCCTGACAGTAATCTGGGCTTGGTGGTCTCATCCCCTTCAGCTTTTCTTCCATGGGATTAGGGAGAGAAAGCAGTGGTAGGGTGAAATCCAGCCCTGGGTGCTCTGTTGCCGTCTGGGAATGCAAAGCTAAAGGGAGAACCGGGCTTTTAAGGTTTTCTCGGCTGGCCTTTGGGGAGGGAGCCATGATTTAAGCTCAAGGAACGGGTTTTTCTTTTTTTATTTTTTTTTAATTTTTTTTTTTTCATCACGAGTTGTAGCAAGTAAAGGAACGGGTTTTTATGGACTCCCAAACACCCAACCTGAGCAAGTTGGGTGGACACTAGTGGACACAGTGGTGGCTGTGCATGAACCTTTTGTGAAATGCAGTTTGAGCCACCTGGGAGTTGCACTGATTATTGCTAGAGTCTGAGTTGAGAAGGGAAGGGATAGCTGCAAGAGGAGTGAAGTCTTTTGACCTTGGTAACTGGATCCTAAGAGGAAATAGGGGTTCTGCAGGTACTGGAAGCTCTTAAAACTCAAGAGGAGTGAAGTCTTTTGACCTTGGTAACTGGATCCTAAGAGGAAATAGGGGTTCTGCAGGTACTGGAAGCTCTTAAAACTCATCTCCCTTACACCCCAGTATGACTGTGTGAGTGCTCTTGAGCAACAGACAACAAGTATTTATTGAAAGGAAAAGGGAACCAGTATTCATGCACCTCTATTCATCCAGCTCATTGCTACATCCCCAGTGCCTGTTGTGGAGTAGGATTCCAGTAAATATTTGTCCAATAAGTAAAACCCTATTGTGTGATGAAACCTTAGGAATTCAAAAAATTTTCACACTCTTTTCTATTCTTGTCTGAGAATGTCCAGAACATAACGATTCTAAGAAGGTCACCTGTGGTCAGCTGTGCTGACAGTGAGGGAGGAAGCCCTGTATTCCTACAGCCTGCAAAGTGTAAGGGTACCTGGGGTCATTGGGACCAGTCTTCCGAGGCATGCAAGTTGAACCCAAAGTGGACAGCAAGGTGTGCTTAGAGCTTTGGGTAGAGTTCATTCATCCTGTAATATGCTCCATTATATCCCATAACACTTCTCTCCTAAAATTCTCTTCTGAACTCAGCCACCCAGCAGTCTTGCTTATTTGCATGTAGCCTGGAAGGACAAGGACTCAAGTTCCTACATTTTTTTCATACCAGCCTCCTCAGACCCTGTTAAACTTTTGCACATTAGCTGTGTCATCCTATTTCCAAGCGCATAAGAAGCAGCAAATGAATGAGGATAAAGGAACCAGCATAGAGGGGGAAAATGACCATAGTGCAGAACTGGCAAGAAGAGCAGACTGAGATCAAAATGCTGGGAAAAGCCAGCGCTAGCAGAAGAGCTGGGGGGCCATTCTTTGTTGGGGGGAATGGTTTGGCACACCTTGGACCTCTGGCTGGGGATCATCAGTTTGATAATTGATGCTTGGCTGGTAATTGTGACCCTGAGTCATCAAGAAAAGGTTAAATTACATTCCCTTGTCTCTGCTAAGGAAGATAGGGAAGTGTGTAACAGATTTTTAAAAGATTCCCAGTCAGTTGGCTAAAATTTTAAGTGTTGATGCTTAGGGAATAACATCACTGATCCTTTCAACAAGGCAAAGTAAGTGGTGTTACCCCTGGTCCCCCCAGATAAGGAAACTGAGTGCCCACAAGGTTGGGTAACTTGTCTAGGATCATTCAGCTGATACTTGACAGGGATGATTGAAGTGCTCTTAGCTCTAAGCCAGATTGTTTCAAAACTTTGCACACTCTTGACAATGTGGCTTTTTGGACAGCTCCCTGTCCACGGGGGGTCCAGCTGGCCCAGGTAGGACTGTGTTACAGTAGAGCTGTGGGATGGGCCCAGTCTTAATTCAGCTCCACCCAAGCAGATTGCCAGTTACTCCAGTGAAAACAAGAGTGCTTTCAGTGCATTTACATTTTAAGCACCTACCTGGGTGCCACATAGCACTTTCTGAGGCTGGAAAATGACAGGGAGGAGTTGCGATTTCAAAAATCCCAGGGCTCCTTCCATGAGGAGCTTTGTTCCTTTGTTTGGGTCTGGATGCTGCCCAAAGATGCTGTGCTGTGCAATGCGGTCTTGGTGCTGGTTGTTCCAGCTGGTTTGCAGGGTGGCTGGGCCTGTCCCTGTGCAGAAACCACTACCCCATGTTCCAACCTGGCAGATCTGGCAAATGTTAATTTTATCATACTTCTTTCTTTTCTTTCTTTCTTTTTTTTTTTTTTTTGAGACAGAGTCTCACTGTGTTGCCGGGGCTAGAGTGTCATGGCATCAGCCTAGCTGACAGCAACCTCAAACTCCTGGGCTCAAGCAATCCTACTGCCTCAGCCTCCCCACTAGCTGGGACTACAGGCATGCGCCACCATGCCTGGCTAATTTTTCTATATATTTTTAGTTGTCCAATTAATTTCTTTCTATTTTCAGTAGAGACGGGGTCTCGCTCTTGCTCAAGCTGGTTTCGAACTCCTGACATCGAGCAATCCGACCGCCTTGGCCTTCCAGAGTGCTAGGATTACAGGCGTGAGCCACTGCGCCCAGCCTCTTTATATATTTTTAATTTATAGCTTTATTAAGATATATTTCATGTATCTTAAAATTCACCTATGTAAAGTGTATAGTTCATTCATTGGTTTTTAGTATATTCAGAGTTGTGCAACTGTGTAATTTGTAATGTACACTATGTAATTTAAAACATTTTTATGACCCCCAAAAGAAACCCTATATCCATTAGCAATCATTTCCCATTTTCCATTTCCCCCAGCCCGAGGCAACCACTAATGTACTTTCTCTCTAAACTTGCCTAGTTTTGACATTTCATATAAATTGGATCATATAATATATAATCTTTTATGATTAGCTTCTTTCACTTAGCCTGATGTTTTTAAGGTTCAATCATTTTTAGCATGTATTGGTACTTCATTCTTTTTTTATTTCAAAATACTAAGTGGGTACAAATGTTTTAGGTTAAATGGATTATTTTTATAATGCTTGCGTCCTGGCTATAGGTGTCTCTGTCACCCAAATAGTGTTCATAGTACCAATTAGGTTGGTTTAGTCCCCTCTTGGCCTCCCTCCTCCCCCCATTGCTTTCCACTGAGTTTTACTTCCCTCTGTGCATTGTGTGCTCATCGGTTAGTTCCAATTTAATAGTGAGTACATGTGTGGTTGTTTTTCCATTCCTATGATACTTAGGAAAATGGTCTCCAGTTCCATCCAGATTGTTGCAAAAGGTATTAATTCATCTTTTTTATAGCTGAGTAGTACTCCATGGTATACACACACTACATTTTATTAACCCATGCATGAATTGATGGGCACTTGGGTTGATTCCACATCTTTGCAATTGTGAATTGTGCTGCAATAAACATTCTTTTTGAGACAGAGTCTCACTCTGTTGCCCTGGCTAGAGTGAGTGCCATGGCATCAGCCTAGCTCACAGCAACCTCAAACTCCTGGGCTCAAGCGATCCTTCTGCCTCAGCCTCCCGAGTAGCTGGGACTATAGGCATGTGCCACCATGCCCGGCTAATTTTTTCTATATATTTTTAGTTGTCCAATTAATTTCTTTCTATTTTTAATAGAGATGGGGTCTCGCTTGTGCTAAGGCTGGTTTCGAACTCCTGACCTTGAGCAATCCTCCTGCCTCAGCCTCCCAGAGTGCTAGGATTACAGGCATGAGCCACCATGCCTGGCCAAGTGTTCCTTTCTCTCTGCCTCCACACCAGCATCTGTTGTTTTGGACTTTTTAATAAAAGCTATTCTAACTGGGGTAAGGTGATATCTCATTGTGGTTTTAAGTACTTCATTCTTTTTTATTGTTAAATAATATTCCATTGTATGGATATACTGCATTTTGTTTATCCATCAGCTGATGAATAGCTGAGTTGTTTCTACTTTTTGGCTATTAATAATAGGGAAAAGTCCCCGGCCAGGGGCCCTGAGGCAAAATCCACTACTGATTGGATACATGTGAAGCTTACAGCTGATCCTACTAATCCCACCGTTAATTGGATATTGGTTGTGTGTAACCCCAAGAAGTGTATAAAACCGGAGAGAAATAAGGAAGCAGTGCTCAGAATTTGGTGGTATGCCCCTGTGAGCCTGCCGGTGAAATAAAGCTGATTCTCCGACCCTCTATGTGCTGCTGGGTTCTTTCCCTAGTTAATCGCTGGTCACTTGCTACAACATTATCAATCCTTGTGACGTGTGATATGGACATTCAGGTGCAATCAGAGAAAAATGTTGGATTTTGTCAAATGTTTTTTCTGGGTCTATTGAAATGATCAGGTGGTCTTTGTACTTTGTTCTATTATCATCTTGAATTATATTAATTGATTTTTAGATATTAACCTGATCTTGCATTTCTAGGATAAATCCCACTTGGTCATAATGTATATTCCTTTTTGTATGTTGCTAGATTCAATTTGTTAGTATTTTGTTGAAGATTTTTGTGTCCATATTCATAAGAGATATTGTATTGTAGCTTTCTTTTCTGTGATGTCTTTTCTGGCCTTGAGTTGGGAAGTGTTTCCTGATCTATTTTGGGGGATGAATTTGTGAATTGGTATTAGTTCTTCTTTAAACATTTGGTAGACTTCACAAGGGAAACCATCTAGTCCTGGGCTTTTTTTTCATTGGAGTTTAAAAAGTACTAACTCAATTTCTTATTCAGATTTTCTGTTTCTTTCTAAGTCAGTCAGTGGTTTGTGTCATTCTAAGAATTTGTCTGTTTCATCCAAGTTATCTAATTCATTGTCATATAGTTCATGACATTTCCTTATAATCCTTTAAGATATTCTTTCCTCCCCTCCCCCCCCCTTTTTTTTGTCTTGTGGTTTTCTGCATTTATCTAAATGTGGACTTCTTTTAAATTTAACTTGATGTGTGCCTTTAATTTGAGGACTAATGTCTATCTTTAGTTTTGGAAAACTCATATACATTATCTCTTTGAAAGTTGTATCTCCCCCATTCTTTCCTTTTTCTTCTTTGTGGACTTTTAAGTCTCTTAATGTTTGTACTTTCTATCTTATTTCTTTGAACTGAGTTCAGGATGATTTCTCCAATTTATCTTTCATTTCACTAATTCTTTCCTTTGCTGGGTTTAATTTTCTACTTAACCTAGCTATTTACTTTTAAATTTCAATACCATATGTCACACATTCATTTAGTACTTTTTCCAACTGGCCTGTTTCTTCCCTGCTCATACTATCTTGTTCTTTTTTTAATGGTTTTTTTATTTAAAGTCTTTTACAGATGTTTTCTTTTATCTCTAGTTCTTTGAGTGCCAGTTCCATTTTCTGACTCCCTTGTGATGGTTTGTTTTCTCAGGCACTTTTGGAAGTATGTACTTATTGGTGATGATGTCTAGGACATATCAAACATGTGAGTGGATGGCTAAGGCGGGGTAGAGGAAAAGATTATTGGAAGGCTCATCCCACAGGGCTTTGCACGTCTGGCTGCTGCTTATCCTACAAGTCTCTCTCAGGAGTCACGTCCTTAAAGCCTTCCCAGGCATCCCTACCTAGTGAAGTTCCCATCCTCCAGTCACATTGCTTTCTCCACTCTCCAGAAATATATTAGTTGTTTGTCTACCTTTTTGTGGCCTCTTTCCCCACTGGAATGTAAGCTCCAGGAGAGCAAGGATTTGTGTTAGTCACTGCTGTAACCCGTGTCTGGCATATGGTTTATACTGTCAATCAATATGAGTGAGTTTTGTGTAGTCTTCTTTTCAGATAGAAAGTCTTCTCAACCCTGATTCTGGAGCTTTTTCATCTGGGCTGGGTATGACCAGGAGCAGAGAAGAGGTGACCAGCTTGGCCTTCCACTCCCAAACCTTCCGCTGGTTGTGCCTTTTTCCTCCCATCGTAAGAGCCCCCAGAATCCCATCCACTGTATGTGCATCAGCCTTCCTCTCTGGCACATTTTTTGCACAGCTCTCAGAAGTAGAGATTTAAATGCCAAAAGACCTGGGGAAAAAAGAGCACAAAACCCTGGAAGACCTGGTTCTTACCTTTAGGAGTCTGTAATTGCATTAAAAGGACGGAGGACTCACAGAAAGCAGTTTAGGATAGTTGCCACTCACTGAGCTGCGGGGCGGATTAGCACCCCTGCTGTGAGACTATGTGGCTGGGGGGTGGAAACGATGGCCTGTGTCTCCTGGTTGCCTTGTGCTGTTCATATGTGGTTTCTGGAGGCATCTACAGGTGAGTTATGAATTCCCAGGTGGCCCCACAGTCTAGGAACTTGTTCTGAGCAAAGCGTTACTTGTATAAGGGTAAAAGGTGCACGAGAATATTCTCATGCGGGGCAGGGCTGGGGGGAAGGTGGGCTGAGTGATGGTGTCTTTGACTTGGTCTCTTGGGTGCCATGGGAGGCGGTGTGGCACAGGAATCAGGGACTCACGCAAAGCCCGTCTTTCCCACTTACCCAACTGTGGGGCCCTGTTAAGATTACATAGAGAATGCGTTTAGCACGATGTCTGGTACACCCTCATAAATGTTCACTGAGATTATTTCAGCCTGGCATTTTGGGAACCACTTGTGCCTCAGTTTCCCGATCTCTAAAACAGGGATAATAATACCTGAGGCCCACCTGCCCTTCCCCGCCCCCCTGCTGTTGTGAGGACCGAAGGGTTAATATCCTCAGGCTTCGAGGGCCTGGGATGGGGGAGGTGCTGCATAAATGGAGTATTGTTGTGCTGGTGAATGATCTGGCTTTGTTCTTGAGTCTTCAGAATTTGACTTCCTGCAGTTAGTATCCCATGTGCTTAATTGCTGGAGATATTTGCACCTCCTCAGCTGGTGGCACTCACCTCCTGGGCTTATAGCCAGGGCCCTCACCTAGCAGGGACCTGCTGAGTGGTGGTGGGAAGCTGCACTTCCTGTGCTAGGGGCCCCCAGAAACCAGGAATGAGAGAAATGCAGAAAGTATGACCCACAGGCGGAACTGGTTCTGAATAGGACGTTTATTGACGAGGTTTTGCAGGAGGCGGCGGGCGCTTTAATTCCCGAGGCAGTTGGTGGCAGCTTGCTGCTCTCCCCAGGCCTGTTAACTGCTCTGCTGCCGGTCCTGGGGAGAATGCAGCTTCCCGGCCCCTTGCTGCCCTCCTGGTGCTTGGATGGGAGCCCTTTTAAGGAAAGCGGTAGGTACCTGGCTAGGCCAGGCCAGGGACCGCGAGGGGGGTGTGATGGGGACTCTTTCAACTCTGGGCCTTCAGGCCTTGCCAGACTCCCCCCAGGAAACCTGGCCAGCCACAGATTTGGGGGCAAAAGACAGGTTTTTCCTGTGGGGTTCAGAAACTGAGGACCATAACGGGAGCAGGTGTGGGAGAGTTGCTCCTTTCTTACCTGGTGCTTCCAGTGGCCTTGTCATGTGGCTGGGTGATTGCAAGACACTCTTGTTTTCTTTTCGGAGGTGAGGGGGCATCAGAGGGTCTTGAACATGCAAAGTTGGTGGTTAGAGAAGGTTGTGTAGGACCCTGTACACGCGTGTGTGCACCCCCATGGAAAAGCAGAGTTAATTTCCTACTTCTTCCTGGAGTTTCCTTTTCCCAGGATTCACAGAGGGTGGTTGCTTTGGATCAAATCAAGCAGCAGCTGGTAGAGCAGGTGAAAGCAGGTACTTCCTGTACTCCCCCCCCACCCCAGCCGTGGACAGTGGGCACGGGGCGTAAGGTGATCTTGGCAAATCATTGCCCTGACTTGGCTATTTCTTTCAACCCTGAATCAAGGCCTCACTTTTCCAGGGGTAGAGTCTGCTGCCAGGCTGAGCCTCTCCATGTGTCTGTACCCCAGCGTCTGGGGCTTGGTGACGCTGAGTTCTGGTCCATGTACCCTCTCAGCAGAGGGAGGAAGCTCCTCTGCTCTAGCCAGGAACTGGTTGGATGAGTTTCTGAGGCCTCTCTAGAGAGGCCCCTGGGAAGGGGAGGCAGGGGGTATGGGGGATGGGCGCTGGTGCTGTGGTTGGAGAGGGGCCTCTGGGAGGGAGACCTGCTGACTGAAGGGCTGGCTGCTTTGAGTCTGTACACTCGTGTGTGAGCCCTTACGGTCTGCCTTGGAAACCCATTTTCCTAACTTCTCTGGGCCAGGCAGTAGGCCTAAGGTCAGAGCCCAGGGCAGAGGAGGTGCCCAAGAAGAGGAGGTGGTCCTTGGAGCTCTTCTCTTGTTGCAGTGCCTGTGAGGAAGAGGCCTGAGGGCTGGGAAGGTCACGGGGTGGTGGGGATGGGGGGGGGAGGAGTGGGAGGGGGGTGGTGTCTAACCAACTGTAGCAGTTCTAGAAAGGGGCTGTTCACCTTTACAAACCTTTCTCAGTCTGGAAGCTCATGCTTGGAGTTGGACGGAAGGTGTTTGGAGGAGCCACTCTGTTGGCACCTTGGCCCCTAATTCTGATGTCCTTGGGGAGGGAAAGTGAGAATTTGGGGAAGGAAAAAACCCTCTTCCGGCCCAGTTAAGCTGCTGGCCTGAAATCCCAATGGGAGATTCCAGTGAAGACTTGGAATCTCAGTTTTCTAGGGCAGGTGTTAACCTCCTTGATCTTACAAGCAATTGATTTATGTGTAGCTTCATATCCCCTCATTTATTTTGGGCCTCACATCTTCCCCCTACATGTGGGTTGCAATAGGTCTGGTTCCTGTTTCTAGCCAAGGTGCCCTCGGTTTCTCTCTCTCTTCCTTTTTTTTTTTTTTTTTTTTCAGCAGGTCAATATGCTGTATCTCTCTCCTCCTTGAAGTGATTTGTGGACAGTCAGCACCTTCCTGGGTCTCTGCATTCTTCTTGAACACTCCTTGGTTCTGTGGATACCTGTAGCCACAGCCTCACACTGGGGGTTTGGACCTTTTTAGGGCTCATTCTCATACCTCATCTCATGGGGCCCCGTTTCTAGCTGTCCCGGTAGTTGTTCTTCCAGACCCGGCTTGGATGCGTCCTTTCCCACAAAGCCACATGGATCCCTTCAGTCTGCCGTGGCCTGCTTCCCAGCATGGCCTCTTGTTGCCAGACACCCAGATCCTTGGGTGGTCTGGGTCCTGGCGGAGTCAGCTGTCCCTTACACTCTCCTTTGACTTCAGACACCCTCAGCTCTCTTCTTCACCTGGCAAAAGATTACTCACATTCATGACTCAGCTGAAATGTCACCTCCTCCTAGAAAGCTTCCTAGTCCCCTCAGGTAGCACTAGCTTCTCCCTCTCCTGTTAGCATAGTTTACTTATTGTACTTGTGTACTAGCACTTAAGGCATTGTGTAGTGAGGATTCTAATTATATGGCTGTTTTTCTTTCTGGAGCCTAAGTTACTCAAAGACGGGGGCAATGTCTTATTCATGTCAGCATCCCCAGGGCCTGAGCATCATGCTCACAGGTGTTGAAGAAATTCCAAACCTGGAGGCCGTTGTGAGCTCCATACTGCTGCTGCCTGCACACTCTACCTCCTCTGTGATGGCTGCGCTTGTCTAGTTTCTCCTAACAGAATACAAGCTCTTGAGGGCTGCCTCTGTGTGTGATTCATCATGTATCTCCCATTAGGCTGCCCTGATGTCTTTGTGCAGAGTAGGTGCTTGATAAAATACTTGTTGAGTGAATGAATTCCGAAGTTCCGCAACTTAGGAAAGATAACCAGTGTTACCCCCAAATTAAAGAAGCGCTATCGAGGCACACAGCGTTCGCTCACTTATCCACCGTGGTTAGGAGCAGAGCTAGGGTAGTTTAGAGGAGTGCTGGCCGTAATCCCCAGGCTCTTTCATACACATGCTTCTGCTTTCCTGCTTTTTTTTTATATTCCCTGTGACTTTGGAAACGGGTGAACACCAGGGCCTTTCCCAGCAAGGGTCCTTTGCTGCTTTGTCTTACGCCCTGGCTCTCCCAGACATCTACCCTAAAGCTAGATTTAGAACCCAAGGACCAGTGTCAAGGTTGGTTTTTCTTGGTCACTAATATGTGCTTTTGTTCTCTCAAGTTACCTTAACTTCCTGAGGTTCCTACATGGCTCTGTTCCTCTGCAGCTCCTAGCAGTACACGCCACGATCTCGTCCCGGGAAACCCTGAGGAATGTGCCCTGCCTGCTTGAGCAACGGGACTCTGACTCATTTATACTTCACTTTGTGGTTTGGCCTGTTGGGTACCAGGATCAGCTCTTTCCTTTCCGGCTAAATTGCTCTGTGTCTGCCCTTGTAAGATCACGGTCCACAGTGATGTTGGAATCCTGGAAGATGGATAAGCACAGGCTTGGTGATGGGAGGGTTAGGTCATGCTGGGTCCCCAAATCTAACTTGTACCTTTGTTATTAATTTAAGATGTAGGCCAAAAATTTGAGGTATAAGTCAGAAAAATCTCTTGTCCTGGTGCTTGTGAAATAAGTAAGTGATTCCTCCATCATCATCACCACCACCGTCACCATTCTTGGTGGGCTTCCCATGTGTCAGATGTATGGCTTGCTTTTGTATATCATCTAAACCCTGGAGACAACCCAGGGAGGTTGGCACTGTTACTGTGCCCATTTTGCCTATGAGGAACTTGAAGCTTCGGTCAACTGACTGGCCCAAGGCCACATAATACAGCCAGGAAAGTGGAGGACCTGGAATTCGAACAGGTCTGCCTGTGCATGAGTTTACAGCATTTAACCTCCGTGGGCCCCCATTGCGTGCCTGCATCTTCCCTTCTCTGCTGAGAAAGCAGAGGGACCTGATGAAGCCCCTGTTTCCACTTGGTTCCCACTGAGATTCAACAGTGCCTTGGAACCTGACTCGTAATAAATGCTGTAGCTCTGAGGGTGTGGCTCTTTCTTCCTCCTTTTGCAGCTGCCTTCCCCATGCCATCCCTGCCCCCACTATCCTAGAGGCCTCAAACTTGTAGCCTGTGAAGTAGGGGTAGGGCCACCAAGATGGCTAGTTTGCAGGGCTTGGTCCCTGAATTTTGCTGGTAAGTAGCAGTGGTCCTGTGAAACCTTTTGACCTAGAGGTGAGAAGGGTAAGGCCTCTGGGAACTTTGGATCTGTGATTTCCAGGGGTAATTTCTAGCACCGCCTTTTAGGGCTTTCTTTGGCTGCTCCCTTTTCTGGGGACAGTATGTTATTTCCCTGAAGAGTGACAAGTTGTGCTGGAAGCTACGTTGACCTACCCTGGCTGTGAGCAGTTTGTAATCAACAGTAATTGCCCTCACGTGGCTTTAGTATATGTTTCCATGAACCTTCCTGGTGGACTGCTTTTCCTGGGGTATTTGTAGGGGGACCTTATTATCTCAGACCCCTTTCCAAACTTGGGCACTTTCCCCTTCCTCCCAGTCCCTTGCGGCTGGTCACTTAGTATGTGGCACAGCAGGGCAGCTGTGCCCTGCCCTAGCCTCTTATCTGGGGCCATGTAGGAGGGGACTGCCGGGGTGAATGAGCAGTCACAGATCCTGGTGCTTCTTGGCTGATTGGAAACTGGCTAGCAGTGACTAATGTGGAAACTCATCAGTCTAGGAGGAACTGGCTTTGGTCTTGACCTCGACCACTGTTTACCTTTCTTGCTCCAAACACCATCTTGTAGTCCTTCCGGCAGGCATTTATTGGGCATCCAGTGGTGCCTTTCCTGCTGGGGGTGAAGCAAAGGTATGGGGAAGAAGGCCCAGCCCAGTGGTGTTCACTGTCTCATCTAGAAGCAATGCTGGCACATAGGAAGTCCCACAGCCAGTGCTTTAAGTGATAGCCTGGCCCATTAGCGTTCAAAGTGCTGTGTGTATGAGTTTCCTACTGCTGCCATACCAAATTCCACACACTTAGTGGCTTAAAACAACACACATTTGTAAAGTTCTGGAGATCAGGAGTTGGGCAGGGTTTGAGGTGCTGTGCTCCTTCTGGAAGCCCCAGGGCAGATTTGCTCCCTTGCCTTGCCGGCTCACCAAGGCTGCCTGCCCAGGGCGTGTAGCCCTTTCCTCCGTCTTTAGCCAGCTATACAGCATCTTCCAGTCTCCTCCTCTCTGTCCCTCTGCTTTTGCTGTCACATGAACTTCTGTCTGACTCTGACTCCTGCTGGGTTCGTCTCATAAGGGCCCACCCAGATAATCCAGGGCAATCTCCCCATCTCGGGATCCTGGATGTTATCACATCTGCAAGGTCCCTTTTGCCATGTAAGGTAACCTTCACGGGATTAGGATGTGGCTGTCCTCGGTCGG